TNTCCTGCAACTTCGGCAAATTTAATCACTTCTTCCGTTGTTTTTGCTGATAGCTCAGTAAACTCACTAACGTCTTTGACACGATCTTTCAATTCGATGAAAAGTCCTTGACCTACTTTCCCTTGTAAATCACAGAGTCGATATCATCTACATCATTACTTTCAAGTTACATCACCCCAAAACTGTTTTTGCTCGATTAGTTGCGCTCGCTCTTGTAAATGTGGTTAAATTGAATAGGAAATATCATACTAACTTCATCTTTATTGGTAAGATCTAAAACATGCTTTTAATATAATTCATCAATCCACGCCAGCTTTAAATCACCTTTGGCGTAAAAACAGTTCCCCCAGAATTGACGAATTGTTGTATTATATCCAACGCTTATACCGTTTTAATAGCTTGCACTGTACACTAGGTCCTAAGTTTATGTCGTACATAGCAAGAGTCTAAATTTTGGGTTAGTCGCTAAAGATAAAGTAAAGCCCTCATCTCACACAGTCGATCGTATCATCATATGCCCGTTAATTTATTGGACTTTCGAACATCTTACTATTAGCGTTAATACGACTTATATGTCTTTTCTCTACAACCATAAAAGCTAATTGATGCTCTTTAGTAATGTGAAATATTGCTACATACGTGTATAATCGTAGCAATATCGCAAAAGTTGAGATCAAAACTGACAGTTAAAATTTTGAATGATTTCTCCAGGACAGACATAACCTGTTCGTATTTGCCCTGATTATTATATGCAACTTTCATCTTGTTATATGATTTGACAAAATCAGAATAATTGTGATAAAGAACTGAGGATTGAATTTTGAGTGATTTCCCTTACATCGAAGAAGCTTCTTCATGCTTGCCTTAATCTAAATACATATTTTATAAATTGTGTATGACGCAGCATCATCGGGATGATAGTGATCAATGAGCGACAATTTAATTTTGAGTGACTTCTCATACATAGAAATAGCCTCTTTATGCTTGCCTTGATGTCTATATGCCTCTCCTATATAGTTGTACGATGCAGCAATATCGGGATGATTATGATCAAAGACTAATAACTGAATTTTGAGTGACTTCTCATGCATAGAAATAGCCTCTTTATGCTTGCCTTGATGTCTATATGCCTCTCCTATGTTATTATACGAATTAGCAATATCGGGATGATTATGATCAAGGGCTAACAATCTAATTTTGAGAGACTTCTCGTACATATGAATAGCTTCTTCATACTTGCCTTGATCTAAGTACAAAATTCCCAGATTGTTGTATAATACTGCAACGTCGAGATGATTGCAGTCAAAGACTGACAATATAATTTTTAGTGACTTCTCATACATAGAAATAGCCTCTTCATGCTTGCCTTGATGTCTATATGCAGCTCCCATGTTGTTATATGATTTGGCAACATCCGAATGATTAAGGCCGAAGACTAACAATGTTATTTTGAGAGATTTCTCATACATAGAAATAGCTTCTTCATACTTGCCTTGATTATCATACACACTTCCTAGATTGTTATATGATTTGGCAACATCGGGATGCTTGGAACCAAAGACTAACAATGTAATTTTGAGAGATTTCTCATACATAGAAATACTCTCTTTATGCTTGCCTTGTTTATCATACAGATCTCCTAGATTGCTATATAATTTGGCAACATCAGGATGATTACGGCTAAAG